TAGGAGAGGGGGATGGGCAATTACCCCCTACTTATTGCAGATCTTGGGGTATATTGTCTTTGGGGAAATCTTAGTAAAACATTTGTAATCACTGATTTTAAAGGTTAATTTTTCCATGTCCAAAATGTGTGCTATTGTTGACAGCCATACATTTCGTTTTGGTCAAGTTGGCTGTTTCCATGTCCTCGTAACCTGCTTATAACTATCAAATGCAACATGTTAAAGAGATGCAAGTTGTTTCTGTTTAATAGAATAAACTAGTCACTTATTATGTTACAGTTTCACTTCACGAGGCATAATAGAACTATCTAACACTCTCACTTTCTGAGCAGATCCTCCCTAGTATTTATATTGTGTTGCCTGCTCTATAGTCTGTACTTATCATTGAAACTACTACTTACAGTATATCCTCAATCAATAGCTTTCAACTACTTTTGCAAATAGAAACATTTGTGATTTGTTAATGCTTGTTCTCTTGCGTTTTTAGACCTGGTGGTGGGTGATTGGTCCGATGATTCTGTACGTGTGTGAACGTCTGCTGCGTTTCATTCGCTACATGCAGACAGTCCAGTACAGGAAGGTATGTCAGAGTCACGATACACGTCTTCATTCTGGGTCATTTAGGTTTATAATGTGACAGGATTTCACCAGTCCTTTCTTTTTTCAGATCGTGATGCATCCATCCAAGGTGCTGGAGCTGCAGCTGGTGAAGGACGGGTTTAAGATGGATGTGGGTCAGTACATCTTCCTCAACTGCCCGGCCATCTCTCCGCTGGAGTGGCACCCGTTCACCATGACCTCCGCCCCCGAGGAGGACTTCTTCAGCGTCCACATCCGCTCAGCCGGGGACTGGACCGACCGACTCATAGACATCATGCAGCACCTGCCAGAGGGGGCACAGGGGCCCAAGTGAGTAACCCCCCCCCCTGATTGTTTTTTTTTGGGATTTTCATCAGCATGCAAGTGTCTTAATGTTTAAAATGTTTTGATTTCAATGTTGAGTATGTATGTATAACATTCCCTAAGAGAACTGAAATGTGCAAAGAATGCAGAAGAAATACTTACAACATGCAGTTTAAAAAAATGTAAAGAAATAAAAGTTCACATGATAGTCACTTTTCATACGCACTAAATGTTTTTTAAAGGCATCTGAACTCCATTTAAGCTGTTATTCTGGAAAAATCAGCAAAGACCAACACCTGAGCATGAGCAAAACGAATGGGTCCCTATTTTTGATATAATATGGATAGAGAACCATTCAGAATACAGCTTAAAAATATTGTGACTACCCACAATGATAGTGACATTTAATGCCAGCACCATCATCGGAAAAGGACAGTTTTTAACCCATGGGTCTGATGTTTCTGGCATTTGGCTTCTTTTTGAGTGTTTAAGTGAAAAAACGACCCCATTTTTCCGTTTATAGCACCTCCTCTTAGGGTTTGAGATTGATTTAGATTCGGTGCACAATATCTTCTGGGTCTGAGCCAATTTCATGTCAAATCACTTCAAAACATATCACGAAACCGGCACCACAATGAACCCATGTGTTTAATGTTGTGGTTTGCGGCAGTAATCCATTGCTGCATAACTGTCCCTTGTAATAATAAACATTGAATAAACAGGTATTATATTATCAGCTGTTGATTTGTATTGTTATAAGCCACATGAAATCCTGTACAAACCACCTTTGTTCCAGTGTGTGTGAGTTATAATTGTTTTTTACACTTTTGAAATGTTCTTGCTGTCATCTAAAACCCAATGAATGAATGTGTGGAAAAACTTGTGTTTACCAAGTCACTTTACATTTCTTTCTGAAAAACTTATAAGCCAAAAATAGAATGATTCTGAATTAGGCTTTTTTGTTCTTTCTTACGTGTACATTGCTTTGACTTTATTAAAGATCTGTGTATTTCTCCCTGGCTGATTCCTTGTTGTTTCTCAGGATGGGGGTGGACGGGCCCTTTGGGACAGCCAGTGAAGACGTGTTCGACTACGAGGTCAGCATGCTGGTCGGGGCCGGCATCGGCATCACTCCATTCGCTTCCATCCTCAAATCCATCTGGTACAAATTCAAAACCTCCAACCCTAAACTCCGCACCAGAAAGGTATGAACCAAAACGAGCCACTCAATATGCTTCTGGCATTTGAACCTGTAGGTCCTGTTAAATAAAGAACAATGTGCGTTTCATAAGTCATCAACAGGATCATTGTGTGTGTGTGTCTTCTTCCTGCTCACAGATCTACTTTTACTGGCTCTGCCGGGAAACACACGCCTTTGAGTGGTTTGCCGACCTGCTGCAGGTGCTGGAGAGAGAGATGGAGGAGAGAGGAATGGGGGATTTCCTCACCTACAAACTCTACCTGACCGGCTGGGATCAAAGCCATGTGAGTGTGTGACTCAGTTACAGAGCGAAGTCCAGAGAAACAATGTGACCTTAGAGCTCATCCTTTTTTCCCCTTTCACATTTGAACACAGGCGACTCATGCCTGGGTTCACTTTGACGAGGAAACAGACGTGGTCACTGGCCTCAAACAGAAAACTCATTATGGCCGACCCTTGTGGGATAAGGAGTTCGAAGAAGTCCGCAAAGAAAACCCTTCGTAAGGAAAAACACTCTTTTCAGATATTGTAACATATAGGTCTTAACTTGTACATCGCCAGTAAAGGTCATGTATCCACTATCCTAATTAGGTAAAAGCAACAAATATCACTAGCAACATGTAGTTTAGAAAAACTACCTCTAGATGATCATTTGTGTATCAGTTAGTCACCTTGAAAGAATACTTAGTTTTTCTCACAGTAAAAAGGAAACTACCAAGAAACCTATTGATGACTTTAAATACATGGGGTCTGCATTGAGCAGCAACACTTTATAAAAACATCCAATTACCGTAATTTTCGGACTATAAGGCGCACCTGAATAGGCTATAAGCCGCAGCAGCTAAATTGAATGATGTGTACATATATAAGCCGCACTGGACTATAAGCCGCAGGTGTTTTAATGTTTAATTACCATATGTAAGGATTCGTGCACAGAGGGGATTGTCGGGAAAGAGATGGCTGTTTGAGGAAGCTCCCATTTATTAACATTTCAACAAACAAGTTGCATATTTGCATAACGTATTCAAGTGTTACCATTTAGTGCAATAGTAGCTACAGAACATGTACTGTGTAAACTGTACTGTATCACATAGCGTTTCAGACACACAAACTTTTCAACTTTCAAACTTAAACGGTGCGCTCCCAGCGCACGTACCGGCAGTGATCTACAGCAGCGGTTTTCAACCAGTGGTACGGGGACAAACTGTCTCGCTCTCGTAATGTCTGTCTGTCTTGCTCTCGTTCTGTCTCTCGTACCACTCTCGGTTCCACTTTTACTTTTGCGCGCTACCTGTCTCACTCTTTTCCGGCCTCCAGCTTTTCCTGCTGGAACCCGCCGCTTAAAGGTGGGGGGTGCGGACCGGCCATAGAGCCCATAGTTAAAGGTGGTGGACTGTAACCTGTAAAATCCATAGATTTAGGAGGTCCTCTAGTGGCCGTTAGCTGTAAAAATCCATAGATTAGCCGCAGCGTCGAAAAATGGGAAAAAAGGCGCGGCTTATAGTCCGAAAATTACGGTAAACTTACACTCAACTTGAGCAGTATAATATAAGTCTCATTTATCCAGACATATGCACGCTGCTTCCCCAACACATGCATTTTTGCTAAAACCTCACTATTTAAAACACTTCAGAATTCAATTTTAAAGGGTTGGAGTTTTTTTTTGGATACTTGCGTGAAGGCATACAAGAAACGAATTTAGAATTACACTAGGTGAGATGTTAATATACAAATCATATGTTTGGTTGTTAATGTATCAGTTTGGCAGCTTATTACTGTGCGTATAGTAAAGGTGGTGTTGGCTATAATGACTTTACATACAGTGATGGTGCTTAAGTGAATATCCCATATATATTTTCAGCTGCTTTATACTTCTACATCTATGAATACAGCAAGGGATTTGCTCGTCTACCCTCCAATGCAGTCTTCACTTTTAAACATGAACCTCCGACAGCTAACCCTTCATCTTGTTTCCAGATCTGTGGTGGGAACTTTCTTGTGTGGCCCTGCAGTTCTGGGAAAGGTCCTGGAGAAGAAATGTGCCAAATTCTCCGATGTGGATCCCCGAAAGACCCGATTTTACTTCAACAAGGAGAACTTTTGAGTGAAGAAACAACAACAAAGGACTTTGGCTTTTTGAAGGTCAACAGATACTTTCACCGAGGATATTTGTGACTGCTGCCTGAAAACCTGCAGCAATAGCTGGGTGTGTTTCGGCACTTCTGGTTTGACTGCACGTCGACCAAAAGGCAGGGCATGTTGTTTTTGCACTACTCAGGGACAGACACGTTCTCAGCCATGAGTAATAGCCTCTTGATTGCTATGACTCAAGGTTTAAACGTCAGTTACATTAATTAATACATTATCTTACTGTTACAAGACACCAGGACCACCAAGGTTTAGTCCGTTGTCTCCGTCTCCATGTTCGTTTGTCTGTATGCGTGATTTACATAATTTGTTATGTATTATTTCAAAAAAATATGTAAGATGATCTGCAACTGTTGATTTTTTTTGTATGCAAATAAAAAATAAATATTAAAGGAAAAAATAAATTTGACCAATTCTTTCCCCATCTTGTGAATTATCAAAACATGTGGGTTGATTTGTTTTAAGCACTAATCAGCATTTTTCTTAATTATATATTTTAGCCAACAATTAAATATCACGCTGTGTTCGAGTCTATGACCCTTATCAAAAGCACATGTCTTTCCTTCCAAGAATTGTATGTCGTCGACTTCACCTGATTTCCTCGTCAGTGATAAGAAATAGGAGGAAGTCTTCCAGCATCCGGGTTAATCATTTTCTAACAAAGTGGAAGATTATTTTTCACGATTTGCTACCCTACCCTCTCTTCTTGGATATTCCGACTCGTTTTAAATAAATGAATAACACAATGTATTTTTTGTTGGTTTTATTGACAAAACATAAAGAACAACAGCTGGCTTTGGGATGAAACATCACACTTCTGTTCAGTATTCATCATCCACTCGTGTGTAACCGGACTCTTCGATTTAAAAAAACTATACAAAAGTCTAAGGTGAGACTTCTTCAAGGTCAGCAGGGTGGAGCAGTTTGGGAATCCTATAATAAAAATGAAATCAGAAAAATGTCTCATCACAGATATGCTGAGTGACAATACAAGTTAGTGAGGAATGTGCAAGAACTGAGAAACCTAATCTTGGCCTACCTGAACCCTTTTGTATTTTTCCCCATGAGCCTGTTAAGGCCCCCCCCCTGCAGTCTTCTGAATCTGCTCTTTGAGGATCAGGATGCTCTGCCGCTGCTCCGGGGGAAGCATGGCGATCTGTTCTGGGGTCAGCTGCAGCACCTGCATGATGAGGGCAGCCTAGAGGGACACATAATGCCATTTACCAGTTATACATGAGCTCTAGTGTCCTCAAAATGGGCCAAACATGACTCACTTCATATTGGGAAGCCATTGGTTAAGTCCCAATTGCTGCTTGTTTACATTCCCTCCCTCCGAATGACTTGCAATCAGTGAATGAGAATGCAAGATAAGACATTTGGCAGAGGAGCCCTTCATCAAGCTGCTGACAGAGCGAGAACCCACCTTCTCCTGGTCCTGTGTGGAGACCTGGCTCTGCCCCGGACTGAAGCCCCCTCCTGACGGAGGACCAGAGTTTCCAGGACCCTGCAGCACAGACGCACGGAAAACAGCAGGTAATGGTTATCCAACACAGATAGCACTGATTTCATACTCATATATCTAACCTTAAGTCAAATTCACATGTTTAGAATAATTGACCAATCGTTTGATCTATATAATGCCAGAAAATAGTATAAATATATAATAGTTTTCCTAAAATTAAAAGGTGATGTCTTGTTTCGTCAGACCTAAATCCAAAGATATTCAATCCTATAGGTTATAAAACAGTATAAGAAATCTCCATATTTATGCTGCTAAAAACTGCTTTTTCTTTCAGTTTTTGCATAAAACAATTGAAAGAACTCATTGTGAAGTGTATAGACTGTATTTGAAAAGATGCAGTTACCGGTCTTGCAGGTGGAGGAGCGTTCGGAGCCATGCTATGAGGAGCGGGGCCCGGCATTCCTGTCGCCATGGGAACCCTCTGAGCCGCCACCGGACCTCGAGTGTCCATCGCCCTCGGGTCACGGCCTGCAGGGGAAAACAAAAAACCTTAAGGTTCACATCTCGCTGAATTTTGAGCGAAATCTTCTTTCCTTCTTATGAAATTGCTCCGAGGTGAAAAGAAAGTTTACAAACATAAAACACTTTAAAAGACATGTTTGTAGTTCGACCATTTTTGTTATCTTCTAGGAACATTGATGACCTCAAACAAAATGAACGGACGAAAGCGAAAGCATTTGCCAAGAATGTTTTCATTAATCAAGACCGAAAGTCGGAGGTTCGAAGACGATCAGATACCGTCGTAGTTCCGACCATAAACGATGCCAACTAGCGATCCGGCGGCGTTATTCCCATGACCCGCCGGGCAGCGTCCGGGAAACCAAAGTCTTTGGGTTCCGGGGGGAGTATGGTTGCAAAGCTGAAACTTAAAGGAATTGACGGAAGGGCACCACCAGGAGTGGAGCCTGCGGCTTAATTTGACTCAACACGGGAAACCTCACCCGGCCCGGACACGGAAAGGATTGACAGATTGATAGCTCTTTCTCGATTCTGTGGGTGGTGGTGCATGGCCGTTCTTAGTTGGTGGAGCGATTTGTCTGGTTAATTCCGATAACGAACGAGACTCCGGCATGCTAACTAGTTACGCGGCCCCGTGCGGTCGGCGTCCAACTTCTTAGAGGGACAAGTGGCGTTCAGCCACACGAGATTGAGCAATAACAGGTCTGTGATGCCCTTAGATGTCCGGGGCTGCACGCGCGCCACACTGAGTGGATCAGTGTGTGTCTACCCTTCGCCAAGAGGCGTGGGTAACCCGCTGAACCCCAGGCTTTGCGAGACTGAATCCCCGCTTCCGCCGAGCTGCTGCGTGACGGCTGGCGGTGCGGTCGTCCTGCCTTCGTTGCAGAGAGTCTAACTATCCGTTGGTTCGTGGGAGTCTGTTGTCAATTACCACCGCATCGGGGCCTCCTTGGCGCCCCGGGCCGTTCCGACGCAAGCTTCACAGCTCTAGTTACAATGACGTTAAGTGATAATGGAGACAAGAGACGTAGATACGACGCCAAGAAGTAGCTGCGTGCTTCGCTCACTAGTGGCGATTCTTCAACATATAAAGAAACGAAGTTCTGTCAAGAAAGCCATAGTTGTGGTCTGTAGTGTCATGTATGAACATGGTTATACCTATTTCTGTTACTCTGCGAGGCCTGCTGTTGAGAGGGCTGTGGGGGGAGCGGACCGGTCTCGCACTCTATGTCTGTCGATTATTGCTCTTACGTAATACCACTCTGGTCTTGTAACCCCTGTGCCGTCGGAAGCGCGCCTTGTGGCCTCCTGTCCTCAGTCCATGGGCCCTCGCGCGCCGCCTGCGGTCCCGCTTCGGCGAGCTGTGGCGCGACTCTCAGTCCCGAAGGCCTCAAAAAAAAAGCTCGGTCCAGGCCACTTTGCGTCGTGCCTCGTGGGCTGTCCTCGGGCGTCTGGGAGGGGGCGCGCCAAGGCAGGGAGCCTCTCCGCCTCTCCACCCACAAAAAGTAGACGACCGCTGACAAGCCCCTCTTGCGGCGGACGAGCCCTCGGCCCGAGTCTCGCTCACCGTCACCCTACGGCGCGTGGTGGCGGAAACTTCGCCCCTCGTGCTGAGCGGAGGCCCAACCCCTCTCTCTCCTCTCTCTTTCGCCTCCGACGCTTTGTCCGGTCTCGGGAAGAGGGGAGCCTGGGCGGCGGGGGAGCCGAAACCCAAAAAACAAATAAGGAAAGAGGTGCCTACCTACCCCTTTTGGCCATTACTAGGAAAGGCGTCCAAGTGGATGCCTTTGGAACAATGCTGAAAATGAGAAGGAGATCTATCCCAGTTCAAACTAGCAGAAGAGCGTGACTGGGCGCGGTCCTGGCACTGGCTAGGGCCGCCCCCGGTAGGCTCCTGGAGTGATTTGGTAGGTTAGCCATCATGTCCTGCCCGCCACACACTGTTTCCCGTCCCTGAATTAGTTGCGCTCGAATACTGGGCGCGAATGACCCTTAAGGAGCAAGTACCCTTTATTAACGTTAGGGGTTAGG